CTAGCCCCGAGTCTATTGTATGCATGATAATTTCAAAAGTTGGACCGACATTGAACCTAATCAAAGCAAGCGATACCACAACATTTGTGGGTTGGCACACAAGATACTAGAGCATAGGAAGTCATAAACTTGGTATTACGGATAGAAGCAGGATAGACGCAGCGGAGATGGAGCTATTTGGCTGACAATAGGTTTTACCAGAGGCGTGGTCCACGTAGCAAAGACTTGATCATAAGACTTACTCAGAGGCTTAAGCCTTAAATTAGTCACTCAGACGCAGTGTGGAAAATAACGACTCGAGTAGTACAGATGGAGTGACAGAGGTCGAATAAAATACTTAAACCAGGGCGATAGCAGACGAATTCTACGGAACAAGAGGGAGACTATGATAATACCTATGGAAAGAGGGCTGCGTAACAATATGGCAGAATCTGGTCAACATTTCCAGCACGAGGGTAAAGGGGGTGAGAACGCCAGTTTCGAGTGTGGAGGGCTCTCATGAAAGACTCCCAAAATGGCATACCACACTAGAACGAAATAAGGAAGAAATTGTGATAGTGAAGGCGTGATACGAGGATTAGGAGAGGTGAATAGCCCATGACAGAATGAGAGATACCACAACTGTTTAGCACACGTTTGGCCGAAGGATCGGCTTCACTTGTCTCTATGAAGAGTTGTAGTATGGTGGTAAAAATGGCAAAACTCACTGCCGATGCCGGCAAAACGTCTGGGAATGTACTACGTCCAGGGTCCGACTTTGGAAATGATGATGCATACAATGGACTCCAGACTAGGTGTGTTCCTCTAAGTCTTCCTACCAATATGACCAAGTTGCGAAAACAAGGTCAAACAACCTCTAAGCCAACTTTTATTTGTAATTGCAACCGAATACGTATTTCATAATACCAATTAACTGATATTCTCAAAACACTATTAATATAAAACGTCTTAAATCGATAAACACATTTCAATGAAATACTTGTATAATGCAAAATCCAAGGATAAGTTATTTGTGATAGAAATGTTCCCAAATAGATAAATGAAATATTAAGAATAAATCCCCAACATCAACAGTGCACAATATGTAATATAATTTCCAACATTCCAAGCTTCCATCAATCGAAAGGTAAAACGAAAAATTTAGGCATGTAATGCTGGATAATGTAAAAGATAACATTTTAGGGTTAAAAATAGATAATATACCAATCTAACCAATAATTCGAGTAAATGATGTTAAATTTAGCCTAATAATTTGCAATCTATTTTGAAAAATTATTCAACTAGATAGATTTCCTCAACAATTAAAGAGCTATGAGCTTATGAACTGATCAAAATGTCGATTGAAGTTAACAAATGATTGAGTATACATTTGGGATTTAAAAAATACTTCCTGTCTATCTCTAGCTTTTTTATCTACTTATAAAATTTTGTTCTTTTTATTAGAAATCAAAAATAAGTATACATCGTAAATATAATTCCGAAGAACGAAATGAAGCTATGCGTGTGACTACCTACTAATTTTGATACAGGCTAAGAATGCAAAATATGTGTATAAATCATGATGGTGCAATTTCATAGCCAAATTAACTCAAAATAATGAAGGTTAATAGAACTGGGATGTAGACCTGGGCATTGTAGGCAATAATTTCTAGGTAATTTTATGCCAAATAAGAGAAATTCATGTAAGCATGCAAACAAAAGATAATTTTGAAAATCATATTTTAAAATACATGTGGTAAAATCATTATAGCAAATTTTGTAAGATAATTTGATTGAAATATGATAAACAAAGCTTTATGACACTTAAAAGGCATTTGAAAAGGAGTAAGAATGGTAAACCAGAAGATAATACATAATTATAAGGGTCAGGTAAAAGGGAAGGCTTAAATAGAATGTCAAAGGAAGAGGGACTATTATAAAAAAAATAAATATGAATTTACAAAATACACTTTCAGGGAAACAATAAAATAAATCAAAAAAACAGATAAAAGATACCTCTCCCATATATCGGCTTCGCAAGTTAAGCATGGACATAAAGTTAGAAGAGTCAAGTTTAGCACAAGTAGGACGCTTTTCAAGGGCAGATGTCTAAAAAAAAATAAAGGAAAATAAACATCAAAACAAAAATGTTCAATTCAATTAAAAATCGATAGATACTTAATATGAAGGACGAAAGTAAAAATTGTTGAGCATGCTTCCATTTCGAGTGAAAGTGTTGGGTGAAGAGATTCGAAGACGACGGCGAATTCCTCTTGACCAACTGTTGATTGGCTTTACTGGGAGATTCATGCTGACGCTGCTTCCGAGGCAATCTCCTTCAATTCCGGTGAAAAGGTGCTAAGTTTTCGTCCGTCACATGATGAACATCATCAGAACAAGGTATCATCGTCACAACAAAATTTAAACTAACGAGTCAAGAAAACGCACCAGCAACTCCATAAAAAGTGGTATATATACTCTACATCTGGCCTCTTTGATCAAGTATAAAGTGATTTGGTTAGTTGAGGTGATATGTCATCTTCGATGCCTGTGAGTATGTCTGTCCGTTTTTGGCCTTCAAGGTTTGATGACCCCTCTCTCCCCCTTTCTGCATACATGTTATAACCATTATTCCGATTACGCAAGGTAGGACACTCGTCTTATTTAGTTGATGAGCCTTTTATTTGTTTTTGGTCTCAATGAGAGAAAGAGTGAGTTAAAAGTACAGAAAATTGACTATGATTAGAACCAAGACAAGAAAAGACTAGTTGCGTCGCCTCCTTTTTGCAGGCGGCTCAACTCCCTCTCTATCCTTCAGTCTACTAATTAGACACGAGTAATTTTTACTTATCTTCTTACCAGTATTCCTTACATTCAATGTAGTTACTATTCGCTTTACTTAGATGGCTTCTCTAAGTTTACGTTTAGCTGCAGTCATGCCATAATCAGCAAAAGGACAAGTTTGAGACCATTCAATCTCATGTCCCGTTTCTGGCCTTTGCTCAGCAATCCGCAATTTTTGAACCCAACAGCCTTTGCTGGTGTTTTTGTGCTCAGCCACTCTTAGTCAAATGGGACGAAATGTCTCTCCAACATAAAAGCGACCACATGAACACATTTTGTATCAACCTTGCGCAATCGGAGTGATGTTTATAACATCTATGAAGAAAGAGGGAGATAGTGGTCATCAAACCTTGATGGCCAAAAAGAGACGTTCCTTTTTGCTGTCCTAATAACCTTGAGCCATAACCGCGGATTTCGTGCATAAGCTAACACAAACAG